GACATCGGAGGCTATTTTCCCATCATCGGAAGCCCCATGAACTCCTCAAGAATTCATTTCCTCGGACCAACCCGTGGTCGCTTTCCGAGGCCTTTTGGATGCCCGGACGGGAAGTCTGTGCATCGAACTGAAGATGACCACTTCCAAACTCCCAACTGAAGCGGAGCTCCAAGTTGCTTCACTTGGGGTCTGGCATTTCTGGACGTGTCCGCTTTTGTTGGTCCCCGTCCTCCATGCCTTCACCGCATGAGGGGTTCCCCAGCAGCGTGGCGTGTCTGACGTCCAGGAAATCGATGGTGATCTTCATTCGAATGGTGGGTTCCCGAACGGAGCGTTTGGGTCGGTTGGAGGCCAGCGCTGCGAACCGAGCAAGAGGACGCGTTTCTACGGAGCTTACGGAGCATCTGTCGCCCTGTTCGATTCATCTCCTCACGGGGGCTCCGTTCGGGCGACCTCTGTTCGAGGGCTCGGCACGAAAAACACCACCCTTCAACTCGTTCAAAGCACAAACACAAAGCAAGAAGAAGAAACTGCGAAAGCCACCTCACCTCTGTTGGAAGCTTAGGCTTAGACGAAAAGATGTGAAGCCAAGAAGTCCCATGAAATCACCAGGTTTCCTCAACAAAGAACCCCACTATACCCCCACCTACATCCCGTGGCCACCGCCCGTGCTTTTCCACGGTCCACCCGCCCACACCGTGGCTTTTCCCCGCCTGGCCGGGCACCAGCGGTAGCATGGGTGGATCGTTGCTGGGCGCCTGCTTCACGGAGGGCTCGCTGCACTCCTCGAACGAGGCGATCGCGGCCCTCAGGCCGTGGGACTCGCCGGGCCAGCGATGGACTTTCTACTTCCTCACCTGCTCCATTCTGGGGTGTCCAACATTGAGCACGTATACGTGAGCCTGCGAGCCACTGGCAGCACTTCCATCCCACATCACCTTTCACGTGCCCTGCGACGCGCGAGCCAGCGCCCTGCGCGAGCACAGCCGCTGGCTCTTCACATCCAACACGAAACTTTCAGACTTCCCCTATAGGCTTCCTGCCCCACCATCAGACTGGCGGGTCATCCCGAATCAACGCGGATTTTACCCAAAAACCAGAGTCGTTCCCCTTGTTGTTACGGAAGTCGAACGGAAGTCGAACGGGAGAAGAATTTTCCTGTAATTATGTCTAAATCACTAACGTTACACCTCCCACCCTTTCCATGCCAAACCGCCCCACCCTTTCGGCGCGCAGCACGGCCCAGTTCGCGCGCACCTCACCCAGTTCAAAGGACTCGGTGCCGGCCGTGCCGGTCTGTGAGGGCGCCAAGCAGACCTCGACCGGCCGACCGGTGAGGATGGCAACAAGTCGGTGGGACCCAAAGAAGACTCGTTCGGACCGCCCTCAACTTCTTCACCATCCAGTGACTCTGGGTGGAATCCACCCAGGCTGGAGGCCATCGCTATTCGGGCCATCTTGGAGGCCATTGCTATTGGCTTCCTTTTGCTATTAGGTTGGAGGCCATACTGTGCCCAGCACTACGCGAAACACGAGCAACTCGCCCTTACCGTGCTGTTGCTCCTCCACTGTCAGAGGCCCGCCATCGGCCAACCTCTGACGGTTTCGGTGGGTCGGCACCAAAACCGCGGTGAGGACGCCAGGCTTGGCACCGACCTTCGTCTGTCTGGGAAGGGTGACGACGCGACCCACATCCAACCTCCGCCCAGGGCGATGGACTGACCGTTCGGAATACGAAAGCCATCCAGGACCCAACCTTCATCTCTCCATCGACGGCTCCCGCGCCAACGGCGCGCCCACGTCACCGTCTCTCACCATGGCACCACGGTCCGGACTTGTTCGATGACCTGGCTCTGAAAGACCAAGGAACCTGGCCGAGAAGGCCCGCAGGCCAGCGGCCCAAAACCAACGCCCCGGCGTGGCTGGGACGTGTCGCCAAAACCATCACCGTGGCTCGGCTAGGGCCGTGGAAGACGTGAGACCCGTTTGGACGTTCACCTTCATCGATGTGTGGCTGTTGCCGGGGGGAAAAGCGCCCAGAAAAATGCGGCAGTGAGATCAGTTCCATCCTTCAGACAGTCTCTCCCGCGACTCTGGTGTCACACCAGAGGTTTGACCTGATACTAAGACCCGAAATCCAGGGGTATCTATACTAGCTGCTTCCGTTCGGGGTCACCAATGGGTATCTCCACACTACTTAAATGGTCTCCAGACAGGGCACCCCGACAGGAAGCGGGAGGTATAGGATAGTCGAACGTTCGGGTTCTGACCCACCTCTGCTGGCAGGGAAAAAGCTCTACCGATCCCAAAGACAGACCTGCCCCGCCGCGTCCACGTCCCGTTCTTTCTAACCCCCCCGCTGTGGTGTTCGAGGCGCCAGTGGTGTTGGAAGGTGACCGGGAACGCGACCGGGGAGGGAGGTGACACAATAAGCCCCGGTAAACCCAGTGACACTCCAGCGGCACTCCTTTTCACACAGTGCCAAACCCGCACCTTGAACCAAGCCCATGGCTGCTTGCAACTCACCCATGGACTGTTCCACATCCGTCAGGACCTGCGCGCCGATTTGGCAACGCGGACCTCGACACATGACCGAAAAGGGCGCTTCCACACACGTTCTCGTGAAATTCTTCAGCAGAACCTCTTGGACACAGAATCCCTCCTCGTTCGTGGCATTTCTGTCGCTTCAGGAGGATGTCACCCTTGGAACCACAAAAGGAACCAGAGATCGCCTAGATGCACACTTGGTCACCTCAACTGCCCAAGGCTTCCCACAAACACGGCGGCACAAGGAGGTGGACTCATCCTGTTTCCACTCACTGTCGGTCGACCGGATCTGCCCCGCCCCCCCTTTCGGGACCTCCCACTCTCCCATCGGGTCCCTAGAAGTCCAGTTCGACGATATTTTCACCAACTGAAGGTAAAGGACATTCCTGAACTCGGGTCACCGTTCGTCAGACCATTCTTTGTATAGTCGACTTGACTCCCAGGAAGGTTGAAAAGGGATCGCCCCATCGCCGTCGCCCCCAAAAACCGTGCTTCAGACTCCCACGACGTGGCCACGCGGATCTCGTGGATCTCGTGTCGTGGACGGTCGGCTGGATCGGGTTTCCCTGTCCCCCATCATGGTGGCGAGAGAGACGCCGAGTGGCCCAAGACCAGTTCTGGAGGTCTCCAACCAAAGGACCACCCGCCCGCACCATGCACCGAACCGGACCACATCGCACCTGCAACTGCTCGCAGATGCGCTGCAGCGTGCCGAGCATCATGGCCCAGTCGGACTGGCCGCAGCGGGAAGCGACGAACCCGGCGACCGGGGGGTCGGACCGGCGACGCGACCCGGTCGGACCGGAATCCTGAGGGGTCTGGGGTCTTAAATGCCGGTTTTGAGGGACCGGTTGGGCGTCGTTCACGGAGCGTCTGGGCAGCACACCACACGGCAGAAAACCACAAAAGCCGATTGGTGGCCCGATCAATATGGGAACTCGCGCGGGTGGAGACCGGGTCTCAACGATGTTGACGGTCTCGGAGAGGCTTTCAACGACGGCTCCGCAGGATTCCAAAGACACCCCAAAGATGTTAGACACCCAAACCGCTGAGAACTCGTGTTTTGTTCTCTGTGTTTTGGCCTACCACCCAAGTGCTTTCTGCATGCAGTGCTTCAAACGTCAACGAAGCCACCCGTCGCTCCTGACTGGTGCTGCGCGTGTTGCGCGTGTGGCGCGCGCGCGGCGCGACAGCGGCGCGCCTCCCGAGGGCGCGACGTGACCGGATTGATGTGCACCGGGCTTCCCAGGCTGAAGCTGTTCATGGGATAACTCTCCATGGCGCCCCGAGAGTCGGTCCGCCGCCGCGACGACTCGGTGGGATGCCGTGGACGGTTTGTAGCTGGAGAAGGGCGGCAGGGGCTGAAGCACCGTGGTCCAAGAGTCCTGTCCGGCATCGCATCGCTTCAGCTAGAAGCTACTAGTAACAAGAAGCTACTAAAGAAGGGGCTCCTGGCCTTACTACGAACGGAGCGATCGGACGCTAGTAACATCGCTTCTAGTATAGCTTCTACGAGTGATGGTTTTGGTTGGTGTGCGAGGAGTCGGACATGATCTACACCTGAAGTATGTGAAACCCTTGGAGTCAGAGGGAACCCATTGAGTTCGTTTTGCTTTTCAGCACGGGGGACTTGCAACAGTGCCAGTCCGAAGAGGCTGTAGACTTGTCACTGAGATGGTCACTGGGTACGCAGAATCCCCGTACCTGCGCATGTGATGACATCGCCACTCGTTGCGCCCCAGCCGACCACTCGAACAAGCCGACCAGCCAACAGCCGACGGTTCTGCATTTCGACGCGGTGCACTGGAGCCGTTGGGGCATTTGGTCGGAGCCACTTCGGGCCACCAAACACTCCAAACTTGACCCAAGACCTCCAAGAGCAACTTTGTAATTTTGTAGCTTGAAAAAGACCTCCACCTCCAAAGCCTTCTTCCTTTTTTCTCAAGACCTCCAAGACCTGGACTTTGGAAAATGGGCTTTGCCCTGGTCGCCACCATGTGGCGAAAATGGGCTTTCAAGGATTCAGTACGCCAAACATGACCTGTGTGTGTGGACCTGACCTGTGTCACCTACGCAAGAGACCAAGGCCACTGGACAGCAATGTCAAGTGACTTCACTGAAGGTGGGAGGTGATTTGGTGTCTGGATGTGTCTGGTGTCAATGCCCTTCCAGAAATTGCAGCAAAAGAACAAGCACAGGAATCTCAGATCCATGCCGCTCATGTTGCATACATACTAGTTATTCGGGGCTTCCAGTCCTTAGCGCCAGGCCGCAGCCTGCCACAATCACCCGAGCTGTCACTTCGTGTCCTTCGAGCTGTCGTGCGTACTGAGACAACACACGACCCTCCGGCTACCCTCTGCACACCAAAGACTTCCCAGGCACCATGCTATGAGGGCCTGCTCTGGAGACCCACGGTCTAACCCGTCCGCGCTCAGACCAACCGGGCCCGCCGACCCCGGCGATCCGCCGTCGAGAGAGGCGCCTTAGGATGACTCCGGCAGTTTGGGCCATGGACTTCAACCTATTGGCATAGTTTCGGCCAGTTATAGTTGATTTGGTGTGTCAGGGGTTTATAGTCATCTACTTCCACTTACTAGCTAATGCCCACCTATACTTGATCAAGTACTAAAGCATGACTACATCAAACAAAAAACACGTAGAAAGTGGAGTAACCCATAAAGCTGTTTTGGGTTCAATTCATTTTTCATCATCTTTCCATTGTCTCACTTCTTCTGATTCGCTTTCATGTCCCTTTCACCAGTTCCCAAGCATTATTCCTATAGTTTCAAAGGAAGGTGTATCTTCTGATTTCACTTTCTAACCATTCCACAAATTCTCAATTCGACTCCCCAAAAGAAACCCAAAAAACCTTGGCACATGTTTGGTCATTTAAGACAACGTTTTGGGGGTGGGGGTGGCTCAACTGTTAATCATGATTTTCATCTGGGGACACATGATTTATCATGACTTATTTATATATGTGGACATTCTGATTCTGGGAAGATACTCCGAATATTCGAGTTGGCTGCCAAACTGCACTTATTCATGGATCCTCAGGCAGAGTGTGGATGTCTGCTAATTGCAGGAGGACTCGCTGAGTCGATTGGTATAGGATGCTATAATATGCTAATAGCTGACCTCTGCGATCCTGTGTTTCGTATTGACTGGCTCGGGGGGAGAAGCTCACTGAGGCTGAGTGGCAAAGCTGGTTCGGTTGAGCCATCCTACAGTCAGCCTCGCTGGCTGACTGTTCCCCCGGTCCCCCGGTGCAGACGTGTTTTTGTTTGTTTGACTTCCTTGGAAATTCCAACTTTTCCAATTTTGCAAGATTGTCTGGAAAGCAGCTGACAAAAACTGGGGTGATTCGGGACAGTGCATCGAGACTGTTTCTGAGTGCATCGAGAATCTGGCTTGATGATCAGGGTTGTCAGGGAGTAAACACCTAACCGCAACAGGTCAGGCGCTTTTACTTTCTAACATCATCTCGATCCATAAGTTGCCCCAAGGCTCATGGACTAGTTTGGACCAGTGCTCCCTCACACCCTGGAAACAGCACAGCCCATCGGCACATCCTCTGACTTGTGAGAACTTTTCAAGCAGCAGATCCATTTTGGGGTGTCCAGTACTTGTCGTCTACTTGAGGATGGTGGTGTAGTTGGTGTAGTCGTCCATGTTAACCCCAAAATAGAGCCCATCAACTGCTATCAAAGTTCTACCAACACACATAGGGAAGATCAGGGAAAACCGGTTCACATGAAAACCAATCATGGCGGCATCGTGGTGTGGACTTTTTGCTCAAGGCAATCATGTACCTTTGCTTTCTCCACCGGGGAAGTATGCTATATAAAGAAATTGAAGACTTGCTTTTGCAACATGTTCATCTCCAAACCAGATCGCCCTTCTTCCAGCTCTGAGGTCCCTCGCAAAAAGCAATTCGCCAAAGCCCAGAGTGCGAACAAGTCCAACGCACTCCGGCAGCGGACTCGCCCTGGCACGTGCCACACGCAGTGCTGAGAGAGTCCCGTCTCGTTGCCGACCCGCCGCTGCGCCGAGAGAGTCTCACCGGCACGACGTGCCCAACTGACCACGAACAGTGCGAACGTCGAACATGAAGCCAAAGGCTTAGCTGGACATCTGCTTTTCCAGGAACCTCAGTCCGAACAGAAGACCTTCAGCAACCAGCTCTGCCAGCTGCCATCTCCTTGTTTGGTCCCTGGTTTCGGGTCCTTTCAGACAAACCAGCTCAACACCTTCCGGAACTCGGGAACACCGCCTCTCGGGCCGCCAGCCCTCTCGTCCGCTCCCCATCGGCCTGAGCGTTTCAGGGAGTGGAATGGGGACATCTGTCCGGACATCGATGGTTTGCGCGGCAGGAACGCACCTGCCTGCGATGGTGTTTTTTTTCCATCCAAATGTTTTTTCTCCTAAAATGGTGTAGAAAATTGTTTTCATCCAAAATGGTTTTCAGATGGTTTTCTTTCTCCTTTTTTCATCCAAATGGGTTTTCTCACATAAATTTGGCTGAAAAAAGGGAATCAACGACCTTCTTGCATTGAAGACACCCAAAACACCACAAAGAAGACACGCGTGGGCATACTGGGGCTTTCAAGAAGCCAGCCAGATATGCCAGGCGGATTAGGATGACTCACACCCATTTTTTCCAGACACTACACTCAGAAGCCATTGGCAAACCACTGACTTTGAAGAGTCACGCTAACCAGTGTGATTAACAGTTGGAAAAACCACGTGGAAAAGCTAGTTGCCTGAGAAAGACTCCTGAACATGTCCGAATTGAAATGCGGAGGTGCCTAATTCCCAGTCCATTGGAAAAGTGTCGATTCCCTTGATCTTCATTCTCAGCTAAAGGATTTCGGTCGAGCGTGCACATCCCTGCCTGCTAAACCATGCTAACTGCGCCCACAAACTCACATTTCACCACCCCCTACACGCCAGGATGGTCGGATAAATCGGAGAAAGTCCCGGCGGATGCCCTCTGCACGGATGTCCGTGACCAATCTGTAGACAGTTGCGACACTGTTTGGTTTCCCTCATTCGTCTTCCACAGCAGGTGAGACCCACAGAAACCTAGTAGCATCTAGTAACCTAGTAACAACCATATCTGCACCACCTCACTCTGGTACAGCCCTTTCTTTTGGAAACAGGGCAAGCTGCAGAACTCCCGAGAGCATTTACTCTTGGTACAGGAGCAGCCGTTGCTGTGAAGCTGCTTGAGAGCGGTTCATCTCAGGCCCACATCGGGTGATCCTCCAGCTCATCAGTGGCACATGATCCGGATTGATCACAAGAGGGTGGGGCGATCAGCAAACTCATTGCTACTGCTACAGTTCGATATTGCTATATATATATATTGCTATTATAGTTTTGCTGGCCGAAACCTTCCCAAGCAGCCTCTTACTCAATTGCGATGCGTCCTTCGGACAGCAGCAAAGGTTAAATGCTCTTATAGTCACAGAGCTGCAAGCTTCTCACCGAAAAGCAGTTTTTGCTCTTGGTACGCAAGCAGCCAATTTCATTTTTGTATTTTTTTGGAAAAGACTCAGGCCATGCCAGTACACATTGGGTGAACCCAACTTCAGCTGCATTTTTGATTCTTTTTCTCGGAATGTGGCTCAAGGACTTTTCCAAAATCATCGAGCAGCTGCAAGCAAAGCCATCATCTCCAACAAATCTGCAACGAGCTGCATTGCTCGAAGGCCATATCCCCAATGTGGGTGACCGAGTTTGGGATGGTCAATTTTGCCAAGCCGCTGCATTTTGAAAAGGCCCTATCGCCAATGTGGGTCACTGAGTTCGGGACTTCCAAGGTCACTAAAGACCTGCAACCACAAAAGGCATCCTTCCCAATGCCGATCACTGAGTTTGAGATGGTCAAGTCTGCCAAAGATATACAATCCTGGACGGTTCCTTCCTCGATGTAATTCACTGAGTTTGGGATGGTCAAACTCTTCAAGGAGCGGCAAGCCTTAAAGGCATCCTTCCCAATGACGGTCACTGAGTTTGGGATGGTCAAGTCTGCCAAAGACACACAATCTCGGAAGGCTCCTCCCCCAATGTATGTCACTGACGCTGGGATGGTCAACTTCATCAAGGACCGGCATTTCGCAAAGGCACCACGTCCCATGTATTTCAGGGAGTCGCCCAGGAAGGTCAATTTCTCCAAGGGCATTTCCAAAAGGCACCTTTTTCAATGCGATTCACCGACTTCGGAATGGTTAAGGTCGCCAGAGACCTGCAACCCTTAAAGGCATCGATCCCAATCCCGGTCACTGAGTTTGGGATGGTCAAATTCCTCAAGGAGCAGCAACCCTTGAAGGCACCATCCCCAATGTGGGTCACTGACTTCGAGATTTCCAAGGTCACCAAAAACATGTAACCACAAAAGGCATCCGTCCCAGTGACGGTGACGGATGTTGGGATGGTCAACGTGGTCACTGCTTTGCCGCCCACGTGGCCGGCCCCCTGAGAAGCTGGATCTTCACCCTCTTGGATTTCGCCATCGATGTGATGTGCATCGGTCTCGTCGTCGGAGCAGTTCAACTTGTTCTCTACCAGATCCGCATCTGAAATAAACACCTGTTCGAGTGTCTCGTCGCCCATACGACCTGCACATGAAATCTTCGCTGTTTTCGCTGTCTTGTCCGCATACTTGTTCATCAGCAACTGCAGCACATCAGAACGTTCTCGAACACTCATCCCTGGCATGATCACTGGGAGAGGAAGTTCCTGACTCCTGACACGTCTCGCAAGGTCCATGGTCTGTCTGGGCAACCTCTACGAAACCTTTCCGGACGTCCCGCATTTCAGCCGACCTTGATGCCAAATGCCTGCTGAACCGTGCCAGCTTGGCCACGTAACTGACAGTGATCAATCAAGAAGCTCTCATCGACATTTCATCTACCGTCTGACTGGTCCTAAAGAAGGTCTTTTGTCGAGTTGGTGACTGGTGACTGGCCACACTGTCAACAGTGAGGTAGACTCTTCTTGTGAGCTAGACGCTGGCCACATCCCCCCACGCACTCTCCCCGCCTTGGTAGTTCTTGGCGTCATGTTCGAGGATGAATTTGAAGTACCTGAGGCGCTCACAGCATGTCTTTCAAAAGTACCCAGTACTCCATCCCCCAACGGTCGTTGGACCCTTCCGGTTCGTTGCTTCGGCGTGTGTTCAGAGCTTCGCTCGGACCGCTTCTTCTTTGGGACCACGACGACGACGGGGTCGGACTTGACGACTGAACAGTCCCTAGAGTTGGATGAGGCCAGGTCCCTGTTGTTGTCTCCCATCCCGACTGCCTTTAGTCAACAAACGAAATCCATGGGTTGGGAGGTCCCCCTTAAAAAACACATCCCAAGACAGGTCTGGGAGACAGGTCTGGGAGACACATCCCCACACCCAGACCGTTGCTGATGCTTGATCGCCTCGTGGATCTTCCGAAACTCTTCCGCGATCAACGATCGGGGCTATCGACCGGAGTTGCAGGTTGTGCCGAAGAGGACGCTCGGCGGAGCGGGCGTGAAGGACCGGCCGAGTGGCGATGTCGAAGAAACGAAGACCTGGCAAAGGGACCCAAACTCGAAGGGACAGTGCATCGAGAATTTGGCTTGATGATCAGGGCCGTCAGGGTGTAAAAACACATCGCAACAGGTCAGGCTTTTCACATGTCAATATGGTGGCTTTTATTTTCGAACATCATCTCGATCCATAAGTTTCGATTGGCCCAAGGCTCATGGACTAGTTTGGACCAGTGCTCCAAAAACACGTTTGGGTATGGGGTTTCCAGCATGGCCCATGGGCACATCCGTTTTGGATCCCTGTCAGGTCAGGTCAGGAACACCCAGGAACACCGGCTCAGTTTCAGAAACTCCGACACCAACAGTTGCGTTTGGGGCAGCTTGAGGCAGCTTGGGGGAGCTTTCTGCTAGGAAACACATATTGGGGTGAGGAATTCGGTTTTAACTAAGTTTAATCTTGGGGCTCGAGCTGGGCTTGATTAATAAGGGGTGGTTACTTAATCCTGTGCCAACATTACTTACTTGTAAACCTTTATATTTCCCTGTGTCGAGATCAACCTTAAAACCTTGTATTTCTTTAAAGGCGGGACCTCTTTTTTACTACACCCTAGGATTCAAACAACCATTGTTTTTATGGTCTTTACCAAAGACCCCTTGTTTTGCTAAGGATTTCTACATTACACCACCAGCTCAACCGTTCTTTTAATGGTCTCTGAAGGCTAGGGTATATATTGTAATAATGGGTCTCCACCCACCAATTTCCCCGTTGGGTGTGCAAGTATATTTTCCTGATATCCTGTGTGTGTTTTTCCTAGGGTAAATTGGAGGATCCCTAGGAAATCATCAAAATGTGGTCTTATAAATTCATGTATTTTTTTGACTTATGGAATCCTGTCCATCCTAAATTTTCAATCTTTTCTTGCAATGAATCAAACGTGAACTCCTTATTTCTTTAGAGGTGGAACCTTGATTCCTTATAAACGGGGGCCTGCTACAGGAAAAAATACTTGCACACCAGACGGTGGGGGTGCTTTGGGGTGAGACACCATGGTGTCACATATTTGTCCTCTACTTGAGGATGGAGACTTTACAGTCGCCAATCTGAACCCCGAGCCCAGCAACTGCTGTCACAATTCTACCAACAAACATGGAGAGTTCTACCTTTGTCAGGAGTTCCATGCCATAGGGAAGACCGGTTTACATGCATCGTGGTGTGAACTTTTTGCAGAGGAAACACAATCATGTACAATGTACCTTTGCTTTGCCCGCGCGGAAGTATGCTATAATGAACAAATTGAAGACTTGCTTTTCCAACATGTTCATCTTCAGAAAAACAAAACCAAACGTGTCCTGCCCTTCGGTCATTTCCATACGGGATCGTGTCCTGCCCGTCCTTCCCGGGGCTCTTAGGTCCCAACGAAGAAAGCCACTCGACTTCGGTCTTGTCTTGGCGGGGACGTCCTTGGCTGCCACAGACCGTCACCGTACCGGCCGAAAACGTCGAGAACGGGTGCTTTTCGGTCGCCGGGAGATTCGAACGTTGCGCCAACGACCCGGCGAAACGAACCGCAAACGACCAGGTTGATCACACCAACCGCGATAGCGGATAGCGCGCAAAGCTTTTGCAGAGCTGTACCGGGCCAAAGCTTTGGCGATTTGTGTGAACTGAATCTTCTTGCCTTCAAGCAGGGGCGCCCGTTAAAGAAATCGCAAATCCATTTTGATTGTCCCCATTCACATGGGTATCATCGACTTCTGTTTATGATATTCAACCAGTTCAAGCAGCTATGCGGATTCAACCAGCTAAGAGGAGGGGAACTCGTCTCTGTCGGATTGAACATGGTAAGAAGCAGTACATCAGGCGCCCCGCTGTTCGACGGAAGAAGCGATTCGGTTCATGGCTTGGTCGCTGGTCCTCCTTAAAAGCCTCTGGAGCGGCCCAACTTGTGATTGTTTTCAAAAAGAAACCACTTGCGCATGCTGAGAATGTTGCGGAAACGGGGGTCGAGCCAGTATTCTTGTGGAATTCCGCGGAAGGAATGGTCCGTTCCTTCACACTGGTACAAGTGGGATTCCAACGGAATTTTCTCAAGCGTTCCGAAAGGAACAATTGTCTTCATGTCTCAACCGGGCGGATGGGTGACTTGGGGTACCGCTCTGGCCCTGCCTCGACGGGCAAAGGCCCGGCACAAAGTGGCGCAGCTCGGCTTGAAACGACCGACACTAGCCTTGCAAATTGCCAAAGACAAAACGAGCGCTGCTGGATCCACCTGCAGATCTTCAAGGTCCTTCCCAAGTTCGATAATGGTGGCCTTGGAAGTGACCAAAACATCCAAACCTTCCAAACAGGTCGCAGACCAGGTCGCAGACCGCTACGCAGACCGCTACGCTTCGCTAAGGTCAAGGCATTCCGGATTCTCTGCTTCATCTTCTTCTCTTCAAAGAACTTCTTGAGTTGCTTCACACGGAAGCGCCGTTGCGCGTCCCGGATCTGGTCCGCGGTGGCATAATAGCTGCCGTTGCTGGTTAAGTTTGCATCGCATTCACGCACATGATCATGGGCGCCTCTGGATGACTGAAGTGCCTTGTGGCAGTAGCCGCAGAAATGCCCATGGCAATGTGCACACTCAAGCGCCATGCAACCATCGAACTCGGAGTAGACTTGCTTGCAATGTGGACAATGTAGGTTCAATGCATAGTTCCGGGCCTCTTTGGCCCATTGGTCTGCCTGCATCTTCACTTGCTCCTCCTGGGGGAACATCGTGCGACATGCTTTGTAACCCCCAAATCCTTGAACAGGAAAACTGTTTAAACATCTTGGCTTAGTGTGGTCCGAATTGGATTGAATTGGTAAGCCCTCCTCATTCCCGTATGATTCCATGAGCTCTTCCACCTTTTTCTGAAGCCTCTCATCAAAGGCTTGCTGCATCTTTTGAACATTCGCTGCCACCTGGGCATCAATGACGGCTTTCTGGAATTCCTTCCAAATCTCTTTGCCACAGCTCTTCGCGATGTCGCCATCTTCCACCTACACAACAAAAGTGCCATCAACTCGAAACAAGCATGTTTTTTGGAAAACATCTGCCAAGAAAGTGAAGGATTGCATACTTACAAGTAGAGTCACCAGTATCAGTACCATCAGTGGGGCTCAATAGAGTCCCCTTTTTGTGTAGAACCAACAGCATCCGCTCTGTTCGCATGCGGCGGGTCCCGGTCCCCGCATCTGTCGTCCGGGTTCCGCATCTCACACGGGCGGACAGCCCGCTGGTGCTGACGCCGCCTCTTGATGGCAAATGGCACAAAGAGCACTGCCTTTTTGAGCACCAAGGGCGTGAAGCTGAGACTTGAGCATCCTCTCCAAGCACTCGGCGCAGAAGAAATGTGGCTTCTCTCCGGAACATGTCACACCTTGACCAAGCGGGGTGCCATCTCCAAGGCTTTTCGTGTTGATTCAGCCAATATCTCTGACAAATGAATTCTCTTAGTACCAGGCTTTGCAAGGTGCCAGGCGGCCCAAGCATTCAGCTAGATCTACCAGAACATATATATAAACCTTGTTGTATCTGAGTAGACTAATCCATGAGCTGAATATGGTTTTCCAAACCAAGCTCTCAGGTCTCCTACTGAGAGTGCCTATCTCACTCTCTCTCCCCGGCCTTCATCTCTGGTGCACTCGTCCCTGCAGCCTTCACAAGTCAGGAGGGTGTCATACCTCGAGTCGCGAACCCACCAGTCGATCTGGCCAAAGACCTCTTGAGGCTTCCTGACACCTGGCAGATTTAAGGACCAAACCTCCACTTCTTCTTTCTGCCGATCGATACGAAGACTCACCAAATCAGAGTTCTTGCTGTCAGTAAAGGGCTCTGGACCATCCGTCTTCAACCGGTTGGACAACAACTCAATGACCCGCGCGTGATATCCTTTCCGCTTTGTCTCGTCATACTTCGGTCGCATGGGTCGCAGGTGGCGCTCAACTTCTAACTGGGCATCTCTTACATTCTGCTCTGGCCCTTGGATTTGGAGCGTCACAGCATCCATCTCGTTCCATTTCAATTGAAATTGACACATGGACTCCAGCTCCACGTCCTTGATCTGCTTCCACAAGGTCATCTTGGGATTCTGAAGCACCTTCACCTCCAAGCAAGTCAGCGGCAAACAAACCACACGCCGCGAACTGTCCGCAGCTTCTTCGAACAGTTGAGATCTCAAGATTTTGGGTGGTTGAACAACCTCCTCGGACATCTCCGGAAGGAACTCCTTGATTTGGAGTCTGGACTTGGTGGGATATAACTTCTGCTTCATCTCTTCTTCATACTTGCTGGGCTGTTGCAGTTCATCGTGTGCGAAAGCACAATATTCACCATACTTGCACTTTGCACCGCGACAAAATGCCTCGCAGAACTTGGTGTGGAAATTCAGTGGATGGTATGCCTTCTCAGGTCCTGTGAGGTCTGCTTCATCTGGGAGATATGGAATCTCATAGGGGTTTCGCCTCTGGTCCACGCCTCCTTTGTGGAAGAATGCACACTGAAGCCAATCATGGCCCAACTTGTTGGTACATTCCTGTGTCTTCCATGTTGACAGGAATTTCTTCACATCACCTCAAACAGATTCAAACAGGGCCATCATTCTCAAGTGGACAGTTCTTCAATGCGAGGATGTCGATTCTCAGGCCGATGACGTTAAAAAGATCTACGCAAGAGTTGGTTGTGACACTAGCTACGACCCCTCGAAGAAACAACATTGGTCCCAAATGAGTCTAAGGCGAACCCATCATGATCCCACCATTTGCTTGCCGTAAGCCGCAAACACATCAAAACACATCAAACGTCTGTTGTCAATATTGTCAAAGACCCCTTCAGATATTTGCGACCTAACTTCAGGGCATTTCTGCGCCGGAGCATCTGCGTAGACCCTACAGAACTCGGCCCCTCCGACAAACGGGCGTGGCTGGGTTCGACACGGTACGGTACGGACGACCGCGGCGTCGATTCTCAGCATAGGCACCCACGGTCTGCGAGGACGTTGCGCTGGCGCTGGGGCGCTTCGATCTTCGCGGCGGCTTGGCCACCGTCCGCCACTCGTCCATGGCTGTCTGCGTGGAGGAAGCGGAGAAAGAGGATGTCCAGGGGTTCCAATCGTTCTCAGAGCGTCCTTGCTCCTATAGTAGTAAGGTGCCCTGCTACGATCGCAGCTATTTGCTAGTCCATCACATGTCTTAAGATGGGAAGCCATGGCATTAACGATCCTTCGGCATGCATTGCTGAGGGCTAGAGGAGCCCTTGAAGAAGGGCCACGGCGCAAAAGAATCCATGAACTTGAGCTACGGTCAGGATACCTTATCGTATCTGATAGACCAAGCTCACTTTACAAGCTGAAATCTTGGAGATACTTTTTGTCGTTCATCTGACTCCCCAAAGGGTTGGGTAGGTGAGAACTGCAAGGAGTCGAAGTCTGAATGTGCTTCGTCTTCACGAATTCCCAAACATCCACTGTGGCAGCCACAGTCGCTCCACGATGCCCTGTAGAGTCACACTGTCAAGGGGTCCAGAGTGACACTGCGAACGAATCAAAAACATATTCAACATGGTCCTTCTTAGTGAGTAATCATGCAGTGCAAAAAAGAACACGGTCGACTTGATCTTTGGCTGGTTTTGGGGGGGTCGACGAATTGGATTGGCCAGCCCCGGGATGACCCTTTTCCTTTACGAAAAGGTGACTTGTCAAGTTTGATGTTGCTCGGGTCCGAGTATGGGGGCGCAGCACAGAATAGGAGACCCCTCAGTTCAACCTCTCGTCTAGACAGACGAAATCGGGTTGTGAGGTTCCCCCTATTTACGGAAAAGACATCGGATCTTCCGTTGGAATTTCTGCCCACGATGGCTTGGCTTGGCCTTTTTCTTCATGAACAGGCAGAAGCATCTGCCATCGGTTTGGAAGAGCGTCTCCGTCTCAACCTCTTCGGGTCGTCCACTGGGACCTCCGGACCGAACCGGTTCCGCCGGTCCGGCCCGGAACGGCCCGGGGGAAAACGAGCCCCGTCGTCGGTGTTTATCCCGAAATTCGGTGCCAAGGCGGAAGTTCAACCCTCCAACCCTCCAACCTTTGAATGCGATGGCCTAGCCTCCAACCCTCCAACCTTGGAATGCGACGGTGCCTTTCGGACCGAAACTCAGAGAACAGAGATTTGAAGCGAAGTTCGTCCGCTGTGTGGAGCGAATTTCCGCTGGACCGGGAATCTCGAAGCCCTCAGCGTCCCCTTCCTCCCTCCGTCTTTGCCGTTCAAGAGAGTGTCAATCGGTCGATCCAAGATTGGACTTCAAAAGGATCTATCGATTGAATGGTTTTTGGGGAAGAGGCCCAATACCATTTCTTTTTCACTGAAACGCTTTGTCGGTGCCACTCACAGATGTTTCAGCTCTTCTCCCAAGGAAGCAGCTAGAACCTTCGAAGGGGATTGACGCTCCAAACACGAAAGGACGACCAAAACCACCGGAGGTTTTCGACTTCCCAGGCGTGGAAGTGGTCCGCGTGGCGGTGTCGGCGACAGGTCCAAAAGCAGGTACCAAATGCATCCAAGCTGCGGTAGTCCAAGACCATCGAAAAAAGGCGTTACAACGAATTGGTATCAGCTATTATTTATATATAGAAACAGGTGCCACGCTAGTAGTAACAGGTGCCTTACTAGTAGTAACAAGAAGCTATTAGAAACAAGTGCCACGCTTATATATGTAAGTCACATGTCATGTTCCTTGCCTTCCATTCGAAGGTCTTCCTGGCTTTCCTCCGCCCGCCGCGTGGAGCCCGAACCGCTCGGAGCCCGGTTCTTCCGGCTCGTGCGACCGGGCGGTGTGTCGATCGATCCAGGTCACCCGGTGCTGCGGTCGCCAGCTTGTCGGTGGGGAGGGGGTGTGACTCAGTGTCTGAACCAAATACACACAACTTCCCCACCACCGCAAGACGAAAGTGCCTGCTGGGCATTGCTGGGTGGCATGGATTTGAAGAGCCGACTGTTGTGTCAAACCGTCGTTGTGCTTTGGATAGATTCGCAACCGCCCAAAAAAGCATCCAGCTGATACATGACGCAAACATGTCAGGTCCTGCAAGACAAAAAATGATGGTGACATGGTGTGACTTGAACAAGCATCATTCTGCCCAGACGCTCCAAACAGCCCTTGGTCCCTCAAAACCCTAGGGATTTGAGGGTCCGGACCCCTCCATATGAGGGTCCGGCCCCTACTTTACGGATGGTCCATGAGCGTCTACTTGAACAATGCCGAGACCAAGAACAACCAACAGTGATCATAGTGATCCAGAATTGCCAGAATGATTCAAGTAGGAATAAATAGGGGCTTCTCCTGCTCTTGATCTCCACACTTGTCTCTTCTTATCTGCACTAAACCTGAGCCCCCACCAGAAAACAGAACAATCTCCTGCCGATGCGGCTTTACGCAGCTTTTTTGCAGCACTTCTTGCGTCGACGCATTGCGCACGTCCGTGCACACGTCACGCATCATTCGGTGGGTGGGGGAAGATATGTCAGCTCTTGTCGAAACCATGCCTGGCCACGGTGTCCCGCGTGGGAATGGGGCCCCGTGGTGCTCGTCGTCGGCGCCGGTGGTATGGAGTGGGTGCTCGTCTCATCACCAATGCGTCAATCAATGACTTGTGACCAGAGGCCCCGACCAAATAGTTGGACACCCTTCCGAAACCCACAGTGGGCTGATCAAACACACACTGCAGTCACTGGAGGGTTGAAGGACTCCTTCGATGTCTTTTTCCGAACCGAACTTCCACATGGGCACAGCTCCCGCTCCTCACAAACATATTGCTTTTCAGCTCTTCTTCAGGTCATGGCCACTTCTCCCATCTTTGTTCCAAACGCATTCGACCCTCGGCTCCCTTGGCTCCCACCACGGCCCGAACCCATCGTTGGCGCCCGGTGCTATTACGGCATGGTATGTCCTGCCCCCGGTGCTGTTCGTGCTATGCCAGCCGCCTCGTCGGTCTTGTGATTGCCGAAGGTCCACTTGAAGGCCTTTCGGGAGAACTTCACGCCAACCTGGGTCAACGGAGGTCTGATCGAGCGCATGAATGCACGCGCTTGCGTGGAGAACGGGACGAGAACGCACCCAGCCCTGTTTCTTCTTGGGAAGAAGGGTCCAAGTGGTCATGGTGTTGGAAGATGGGGAAAGGCATTGGGATGGCTGATGAGTCGGTTAGTCTCTGGGAATCAACAATCGATAAGTCCTCCTCAAGTAGCCTGGGTTGTGGCACGCTTCACTCTCAGGCTCTCTGCTGATGTCTTGCTGTTTGACTCTTTTCGTACTCTACCCCCTTTCAGAAGTCATTTCGGTCATCGAGGATTGACATCCAGGTGATTAGGCACTCGGCCGTGGAAGAGAAACTGCACCTTTCCACTGGAAGAGCTACCCAAGAGCTTGCACCCCCTGCTCACAGAAACACGTGACGACATACGAAAGGTTGACATCTACCCCTGAGAAACCAAACGACATCAATCAACACAAACCGCAGCTCGTCAACCGAAACCACACCGCAGCTCGCGGTGTTAACACCACGACCGAAGAAAACAGAACAGCACCTGAGATGCTACTCACGATATCAAATCGAATCCTATAAGATCCCATCGACATCGGTAGCCAGGGGTATCTATCGACCATAGGACCCGGAAAACCAGCATTATCTATAGGATAGTCGAACTCATTCGGGTTCTGACCCACCTCTGCTGGATCCGACCTCGTCCTTTCCCTTCGTCCGAACACTCCACGGCGGCGCAGCACCGCACCTGGTCCACTTTCGTTGCCTCCTGAGGCGACGACCAATCAAACACGGCGACGCGCCACCTCTCCCAACGAAGACGAAGTTCCTGCAGAACACTTCGGTGGGTGCTATTTGGCACCTATATATGAACTACCCAGACGCTCCTGGACCCTCATATGCAAGGGTCCGGATCCTCAAAACCCAATGGTTTTGCCCGTCGGGCGTCGTTCACGGAGCGTCTGGGTAGATGATCAGCGTCACCTGGATGAAGTCTTTCCGGAGTCATCTGAGGTTTGGATGCGGCTTCACCCTTTCCAGACCGCGGTGAGAATGACTGCAAACTTCACGTTGATGTTTCATATATAGTGATCCCCAAATAGATAGTGGCACGGTTTCCAACACATTTTTGTTTGGGAGATACTTTTCTATCCATGACAGGGGGTCTATATAGACCTCTCAAAAATTATGAGCAACATGATCATGTGCACTGAGCAGCATGATGCTGAACTACCAAGCTCCTTGCAGATCATGACAGGACAGCAATAGTTTGATTTTCCTTGAAGAGGACCACTTGAGATACTTGTGCAAAAATATATAGCAAAGCTACTATATATATGTATGGCTATGTATGGCAATAGTCTTGAAGAACTCAAGGCAAATTCCTTCTTCTCCCACGAACCCACGAACCTTCTTCTCCGTCAGCTGCTGAGAAGAGCTCTCCTGGAACGTGGACCGGGAGCAGTGGATCATGACTGACCTATTCGTGCACATGGCGCTACTCTTTCGACCGATGACCCACCAGCAAAGGTTGAAGAACTCTATAGGCTATCCTATAGATACCCCAGTAGGGTCCTATTTACGGTCACTTAACCTCTGTTGGCAGTTCTCCGCCATGTCAGTTGGCCTCTTTTGCACACGACACCAGTGGCCTGATCGCCCGCCCTGGAGACCGATCGAAGCCAGCGAGACTTTGGCTAGGCTTCGTCAGAAAGGCACCGCACATTGTGCGGGCCGGTCAGCGCACCTTAAAGATACCTGAGACCCAGGCGAAGGGTCGAAAAGAGGATATGACTGAAAGAGCCTTGTGTTTCACACGTGGTGTTTCAGCTGGGTCTTCCAAAAAGCTCTGCACGCAGGGCCCAAGGGATACATTCAACCAACGTTCATCACTGACTGAGACGACTTCTTCACTCACATCATGCAGCCTGGCTAATGCATCCCATGTGCCGAGTATAAGCATACCTCTTCAGAAGCCCTACTGTCACTGTGCATCTATATAGTTTGGACGCCGATGTGCTCCATCCGATTCCGACGCCGGGCCGCGGCAAAAGCACCCTTCGCCACTTCAGCTGAAGGTCTCCGGCAACAGGTTTTGGGCCAAGCGCTCCACCTCACAGGGTGGTGAAGAGAAGCAAGCGGGCGTGTGAGGGTGTGACGTATCACTCGTTTTGTTCCTGTAGCTTCTTGTTACTAGTAGTAAGGCCAGGAGCCCCGTTCGCAGCGTCCCTTTTAATGTTTCCCCAAACAGGAAGGACTCGATTTCTTTGGGAAAGCGACGCACACCAAGAAAGCACCCCGAAGCCGATTCTTTCTGCAGAACAAGTCCCAAAGCTTCAGCTGTGGTGCAACAGGTCATGTTTCTTTCGGAAATCCATGGAAAAGCGATCCCAGCAAAAAGAGGTCTTTGCACATGTACACTACGTCGCTTGGGTAGGAAACCACTGGTGCTCAAGGAGATCATCAAGTGGATAAACTGCTATCTTCATACCTTGGACATTCTTAGACCCAGATCTTCAAGTCTTCAAGTCTTGGATAAACTGCCATCTTCCTTCAGATCTTGGATCAGCTATAGTTCAACAGCTATAAGACCTCCGGGCTTTTTGGGGGGTTCTCTTCACCCGAAGTCTTAGACCACAAAGGCGCCGCCTCGCCCCCGCGCGGACCGACCGAGGTGCCGAGACGTTGCCGTCGGCGTCGGGCTCCGCGAGGCGCATGAGCTCCCGGAGCTCCTCGTCGCTGAGCCTCGGAGCGGCAACAGGGTTAGGTGGAATGGATCGTTTTCACAGGAACAGGAAGCAGTGGTCATACGCTTCTTGGCAGTGGAGATGTTGCCACTTTTTCTGGAAACGACGGATCAACGCCTTCGCTGTGCGAAGGCCTGAACGCTCATCGAACTGCCTGAACGTCTGGAACGACGTTGGGTGAATGAACACGGTCCTTCGGAAGCCTCTCCAACAGGTCCAACGAATGAATGGACGTGCTTCCTTTTTTCCACCCAAAATTGGGATGTGACTGCCCAACAAAAACCCTAGCTCCCCATCCAAACGAAAGAACGTTCCTTCAGCAAACGCAATGCTGTCCGAGACCTTCCCCTGACCGCATCGGATGGATAACCTCACTCTTCAGCTTCGACCCTGATCGCTGACCACGTGGTCAGATGCGCCTCACTTAGGCCAAAAGCTCGGCTCGTCCGACCCACCCGATGCTCGGAAGGAACTGGTCGGATGCCGCCGACGTCGCCGCTGTCCGTACCTTTTGGCCTCCACCGAAGCTTGGTGCTTCACCAACCAAAAGACCACGGTAAGACCCGTTCACCTACAAATATCCAAGCAAATATCCAACTGACACCCGGGAAGTCTCCCCTAGGGATTCTTAACCCATCGTCAAAGGTGATTGAAACGCTCAAGCCTTCCGGTCGGCTCCGACCTGTCAAGCCCGTCCAGCCCGGCGGGTGAGGAGCTTCTCGCCGAAGTGGGTCACGATGAAGCGCAGGGCCTCTCCATCCACGAGGCCATCTTGCGCCAAACCTGGCGACACGAGACGTGCTGATTGGAGAGAATGCTTGGGCTAGTGGAACTCAGGTAATGACTATCAGAAACCTCAACCTGATGACACACACAGCACAGAATAGATCATCCGGCCCACTAGTAGCTTCTTGCTAGTAGGAGTAGTGCCCTTGTTACTATAGTAATGTAACTTCTTGCTACTAGTTTCAAACGGAAGAAGGCTTGTGCTTTTCGCGACGCCGCCCGCCACCTCCCAGCTTTTCACTGAGCATCTGTGCCGAGGGCCGCCTCAGCGGTCCGGAGACACCGGCGAAAAGCAAACGAGGACTGAGGAGGAGGAGGAGGAGGAGGAGGAGGAGGAGGAGGAGTGATTGGATGAATTTAGCACCTATTTTTTGGGAACAACCACCAATCCTGCGGATTGGAGAGGAGAAAGCGATACCCTTAAAAACACTGCTCATTACGACGGAGGAGGGAAGGTTGCACTGAGTTCCCCGACTGCTTCAGCGCAGCCTGAGAGGATTGGGGCAAAGACACACCGTGAAGCTGACGGTCCTGGTGGTTGGTGGAGCATTCTTGGAGGGATTCAAGTTCTGTTGGGAGGGCCTCGAAAACCCAACCGGGGAAACCATCATCGAATCACAACCAGGGCCCCAAGACTAGCAGAAATGAAGCACAACAAAATAAGCCCATTGCAACATGTCCTCAGTGTCTTTTAGGCAGTGACTTCGATTTCTCGCCATCGACGATTCTCAAAGGGCCTCGTCAACTAAGATGCCCAAATGTCACGCTTTGCCTCGTGGTGATTTACCACGTGTTTGACGAAGGGACAACTGTCACAGAAAGCCTGCCTGCGATGTCTGCACTCTTCTTTGATGTCTCGTCCCACACCGGAGTCCGACACACAAGGAGGAACCAGGACTGGAAGAACCTCTTCCAAACAAATCCACTCGCGAAAGCACTCAACCATGCCCACTTCGTAGCAATAGAACCATGGTGTCCACCTAGCTGTTTCTGGGGTTCGTGTTCCAATGACGGTGCAAGTGCTGCATCTGCATCTTTCTTTTGCTTCAATGTTGGCTAATAGTATCCCTACCAGGACCCCCAGTCGGGGTGGTTAATGGACACCCCGAATCACCTCTGTTCGGGGTGGTTAATGGACACCCTGAATCCGTGGTGCTGGTGTGTATCCCTCATGATTCCGATGGTGTGTGGATCCTGCGGGTGGCTCACGACCGAGCTCTCTCCTGGCCTCGAGCGCTGCTCGATAGGCGGGGTACTCAGGAGTGCTGCCATGCTCTCGGCCTCAAGGGGAGGACCCTGGTTTCATGACTCCTTCAGAATCCGTTGGGAACCTAGACTCTATCCATCTCTATCCCCTTCACTCTCCAGTCTAGTAGGGGGGCCATCTTTCAAATTACTCTACCTTCAAGGCCTTCTGTCGCAGATTGACTTTCTCCAAGCCCCTGATATCTTAAGTTCAATTATCTAACCCCCCTGTCACTTTGGCACCAACCATAATGAACCGCCTGAAAAACCTCGAGCCTCAAAACCCCTCCAACTCTCTCTTCCCCAACCCCCCCCCAACAAAAAGGGGACAAGAACGGTCCGTCTGCAGGTGGGTCCGTCCGTCTGCAGTGCGGTCCGTCGAAGTGGCAGATCTCTTCGAAGTCCATGGAGGTGGGACAGGCGCCGCCGCAACGCAGCGCTTGGAGGAACTCCTTTCGCGTGAGCCTCGGACGAGGTCGAACCGCGCGCGCGGGCGGCGGCCGGTTTGGTCGCGGCGAGTGTGTCGGCCAAACTCATTTGGGCGAAGCGGTGGATGGGGTATGTCTTCGAAACCGAAAAAGTGAATCAAAGGCCCTGGAGCTTCTGAAGGGTTGAGCTTGGCAGCCACTGGGTTGTAGCCCGGAATTGAACGAAGCCACTCCCAGTCTTGGTACCGATTTGGCGAGCTGAAAACGCTGATCTGAGTCCAACAGTGTCGACCTGAGTCCAGCAACTTCCTTTAGAGGCTTCGGATGGCACGGTTTCCAAGACATACATATTCTATACACGTGGGGGATCTACGAACTTCCATTGATGACAGGGGGTCTATATACACTCCCTGGAACTAACACGTGAAGTGGAGAATGGCCCCGAAAGGAGGACGGACCATGAAATCCACTACAAACAGCTGGTGCCATCCACGTCACCATGCGAGTTCCAAGGAGTGTCCCCCCTACCCCTCGTCCTCTTCGACGGGCCTCGACCGGGCCTCGACCGACTCGACTGGGGCAGGGCTCGACCGTCTGCGTGGCACGTCTCCGCAAGCCGCGCGACGAGTCGAGTCGAGTCACGAGCGAAGCGCGTCGAAACGACTCGTCAGCGCAGCGCGATGAACCGGACTGCGGGGGCTCCCTTCTTGGGGGGTCCTTATTTTTCTTTTCAGCACAGGCGGAGTCTTTTTTGGGTGCAACTTTACAGAGACCTCCGCCTCCACGTGGCGGTGGGAGGCCCATATTCGCAGGTGGGACCTGCGGAATCACCGCGGAAGTACTGAGCGGACGTCAGGCCCGGTTTGACGATGTTGAACCCTGGATTGCCCCACATGTGTGTATACAGTGCCATTCCGTTTGAAAAGAGCAGCCAATTCTATTTGTCACACCTTTTGGAGTCTGTGACAGTTGGATGCCGTCTAAAATCCTGATGAAAAACAATGGCTCTTCGGCCAAAAGACTGTTCAATCACCGGTGGTTGGAAATCCAGGGTATCATCACGGTCAAGACGAACTCATCTGGGCGAGCCATCGCAGTCGGTGGTCAACTTGTGGTTGGAGCCATCCGACTAATCTGAGCTGCCATCAAAACCTAGCTGTGCAGTGATCCATCCCTATACAAATCAGAATCCTGCGAATCTTCCGACTCATTCCGTCGGACGGACATTCTCTAAATGTTGTTGAGAGGAGTGTCTTGTCCATTGGAATAGCAGTGGCAGCCAGTATCATGGATGTAATCGCACCCTGCATCCGTAATTGGACAGAATGCACTGCAATTCTTCTCCACACCACGTTCGACCCAACAAATCTCGCACGCCTCCTTGCACCTGCCATCGGGCAGAGGGGTGGCAGGCAGGTGGGATGACGAGGGATTCCTGGCTCCTGACACATCATTGATTTGATGGTTCTTATTGAACGTACCACTACCATCCAGTTTGGGTGATGGTTATAGGATGGAATATAGATGATCGGCGCTTTTAGATGATAGTCACAGGGGTCTATAAACCCGACCTGGGTGATGCTGCCATAAAGTATCTGTAATTACTACTAAAACTAGGTCCTTCCTAGTTTTTGACTTTTAGGGTAGAATGTCGCGTTGGACAGGTGACCAAGCCTTTCTTGATGGGTTTAGGTTGCACATGTGAATTGTTTTTCTTCTTTGGAGGGCCACAGATTCCCGTCTATCTTGGGTATATCATACCCTATTCCCTGTAACAGTGGCTGATGATGGTTCCAACACATGTGGAATGATGCCTAGTTGTCAAGCTTCCACTGAAAACCACTTTCCACGTCCTCCCTTGCTGGATAGAGGGTGAAGTCTGCAGAAGTACAAGAAACATCATACCCCCCTCCAACGAAGATAGAAGTGGAACTAACCCTCTAGAATAGAGGAAAAACTCCATGGAAGGGTTTGTTCCATCTTGGAAAATGTTTTGGACAAACGTTTGGAGACGGGCACAAACCATCTTCCATGCGAGGAAGATCGCTTGTCCTTACCGGTATCACGTTCAAAGGCCAAGTGACCCCTTTACAAGTCAAAACGACACATGGTCACAAGCAAAGGGCATCCAGTTCCAGTCACTTGTTCTGTAACTAGGCATTAGAGCTTTGGACCATGGACATCCATCGACCAGGAGATTCCGCTCAGGACCCTGGACTAGCATATAGACTTTTCGTTTCCTTTTGAACTTCGATCGAAATGGTTTCGAACTCCGGCACTAACAAGTTCCACTCTTCCAACGTGTTTTTGTTCTGCTTCTCAGCTGGTTTTCCACATGAAACTCTTCCTCGACAGGGATCTCAGGATTTCGATCAAGCAAAACAAAACTTTGTCACTTGTTCCAAGAAACCCGCCCGAACTAGGACGGTCGATTCCCCATTTTCATTGATGGCCTGTTCATGCAATTCTGCTTGTCAATCACGGGGAGCACGTTGCACATGTTGTCTCCCAGAAGGGTTCCTCGGTCGAGTTCATGACTCGGGGATGTAGTTTAGCTTCATTTTTTGGGGTCGGAGGAGTCTCGACACAACAAAGGAACTGATCAAACTGCAAATGTGTCATACCCCAGCTATACCAGAAGTGCGCAGTTCGTTTCTTTTTTGTTCAGTGATCCTTTTCTCAGTGTTTGGTTCACTCTGTTTTCGCCGTTGCATGGTTAGAAAATATATCTTCCTGCTCTTGTTTCCATCGGCTTGGGTGGTGGTTTGAAGACGCTTGATCATCCAGCTGCGAGGCTTTGTTTCAAGCTGACATTGACTGGGGCCTTGATGAAATCTTTGGGAATCTTATGCTTACTTGCGTTTGATTTCCGCAGCTGGCATGTGGACACGGGCCGCATTTACGGGCAGTTGGTCGGTTCTACAATATTGGCACAGCTCCCATCTGTTGAGCAGGTCGTTGGTTGGGGAGGTGCTGTGGGCCGGTGACCTTATGGCAAAGTTCGTTGGCTTTTGGTTAGAAACGATCAGCGTAACATAAGAAAAAAAACTACCATGCCACAGGCGCATGGTGTTGAATGCCAATGCTTGCTGCGCATGTTCACGGACGCTTTGGCAACCGCAAGTTGAAGATACAATTGTTCTTGAACAGCATTGGAACCAAAGGACTGTGACCAAAGAGTTGTCACCAAACTGCGTATATCTGGATAGGCAGCCATGTGGTGACACTTGAGCTGGACCTGTTGCAATTGAATTGATTGCCCTGTTGTTGGGCAAATAGCTTTAAATGAACTCTAAATTTCTTGCCTAAACGGCTCACTGAAGATGGCCATGATGGAGATGTTTGAAAACACGTTGGGGAAATTTTGTTTTGCAAAGAATGCTGGTGAAAACTGCAAGCGTGCCGAGTGGAGCTAGAAGCGCAAAGTGCAGCTATCTTTGCAAACAGTAGAGGTGTGCAAGTGGGATTGCAAAGCCATTGGCAAACCCTGGAAAGGAAAGTGGGTGATGTCACCACCACCAGTAAAAAATCAGTGGGGGACATCGGCGTGGTTCAACTTTTGAGCTTCCAGATGAATGCGCTTGTGTGTGTGTACGTGTTCTTTCATCTGCTTGCGCGCGTGCGCAAAGCCCAAGACTTCAGCTCAGACAGGCTGCGCAAGAATAAACCGGACTTTGGAGATTGGTGGGCTGGTGTTGTTTACCAAGGAACCTGTATGGACAGTTTGGCCGCCGAAAGCCAAACAAAAGCCTTAGTGACGGGTGGCATCTTGAAAAAGCGCGGAAAGAAATATCTAGCCCACGGTGGCGTGGTTTGCTTTCAGCTTAGCATAGTGTGCAGATCCGGCAGCTTGTTTCAGAACAACACATCGCCATCTGTGAGCATAGCCACGGGCAATCATCACCTAGGTCTGAAGAGCAATGAGGCTTGAAAGCTGCCTGGAACGGACCTTCGCGTTCGTTGTCCGGAAGCCTGAACACGTGGCAAGTTTGGGGCCTAAAGGGTTGAAGCTTTCGGTCTGTAAACTGTTTGCTGCCTTTTCGCCAATGAAGCCCTATGTTGAAGCGTTCCAAAAGGCGCAGGTGAAATTTGCGGTGAAGTTTTGCGGTGAAATTTCACGCCCGTTCAGACCGCCGGCTTAGGTGATAGATGGCTCAGGGGCTGCTGGGTTGATTCGGCATTTTTTGGACTGTCAATGTCCTCTGAGCTCTTCTTTTCCTAGTCGAGAAAGAAAACGAACAGAAAAATGCGGGGAAGGATCGAAGTTCAAAAATTTTCGATCAAGCAGGTCGCGACCAGGAATTGAAAGGCCATTGCCAAACCAAACAGTGGCAGAAAAAGAGAAGGAAGCTATAAGGACATGAAACAACAATCCCGGGCGGCAATCGGACCCCGAAGCAAGGGCCCTTTTTGTGCTCCAGCTCTCGCAAGTTTGACGCCCACTGCCACGGCACCCCTTCGGTAGTCAGCTCAGCCGTCTGGCCTGCGAAGTCCTGAGCTGGCGCGAGGCGATGCCACAATTTCAATGAGAACGGCCCGATGCGGGGAGGCAAACTGCGGAAGGGAAGCATGGAGGGCGCGCTGGGAGACGCAGGGAACGAAACAAAAAGCGTTCTCCGCCCTCCATCTTCACACCGAAGGGCCTGGAAAGTAGAACCAAAATGTTCACGGTCCAGAGTGCGCAGAAGGTCGCCCGCACGGCAATTGTGGGCGTAGCCGACGGTGTCGAGCCACGTCTGGAGGTCGATACCCCGCAGCCGCGCCTGACTTAGATGGGCTGGGGTGTTGCTAACAGGTTGTAGGTTTTAAGGTAGTTAGTAATGCATTGTTAACTATATGGTAAACTCTTGGTAACTACTTGTTAACTAGTTATAATGTATTGCCCAAATTATAAGAATTACTATCTCTTACAAAAAATTAACTAATTATGTTATTTTACTTAAAGAGTTAGCAAAGTTAGTAACTGTTAGCTAATTTTTGACCAATGATTTACACAATTACATTGTAATGATTTAGATTTTGTTGTCATGAGAAAAA